CTGACTTCTTTCCAACAAGCAGCAGACAGCTGTCTCCACAGCAACCAACCCTTCGACAACCTGGACCCCATTCTAAACATACAAACTCTTCAAGAGTTGAAATTGCTATCCCATCCAACCCTTCCTACAAAAAGCAAGATATGGACAAGTGAAAGATATTTCCCAAGGCCATCACCAAGATAGAACCACATGACATCATCCTTGGTCAAAACAAAACTACATCCCAGTATGACAGAGGAAATGCTTGATACCACATCTTAAATCTCCTTCAACACCAAAGACTTAAGACAATGCTGTGAGTGAGAAAAAGACTCTCTTCCTGCTGACTGCCCCCCACAAAGCATCCTTCTCCAACCCTTAAGTGCTGATCACTTCCACCTGAAATGTCCATTTCCACCCTTCAGTCAATATAAGGTGCCAGCTTTCAGGGAGAAGTAAATGACCAGTATTCTTACCCAGACATCTATGTACCCAGTTTACTGTAGTGTACAGAGGGAAAGACAGGAGGGACAGAGAACTAAGAGAAGCTCAGAGATAGTAAATAATAAATAATGGAGAGCAAATCAGGAAGAATTTCAGACAAAACAAGTGCATCATTCAGGAAGGCGCGAGTTACAGCTGCTGTCGACCGTGCTAGAGAACGCGTGAAAGCCACTTTGGTTTTTCAGTTTGGCAGGATGTCAACGAGAAGACTGAGAATCAGATTCTGAGAGTAAACAGACCGGCGTAACGGCACGTGCAGGCTGACTCTGTACCCTGCCTGGAAGAATCGATGTCCAGAAGAGATGAACTCACAGGGCACATCCTCATGCCCAACGTATTTCTAGAATATTCTGTGTCTTAGGAAATCAAACCTACTCCAAGAACCCAAGACAACCCACACACAATTTTGAATACATTTGGGTAAGCCCTGGAATTAGAATCATACAAGCACTAAATGAAAATTTCTCAGTGCTATGCATTGAACTTTAATAACTAAAGGACAGTGACCAAAATACAGCTAAATAGATACTTCAATTTTCTTCTGTGATCATTTGAATTATTTCCTCTTAATCCTGTTAAAAATATTTTTTCATAATTTTACAAATTCAATGACCAGGTAAAAATTTGTACCTCTGAGTTTGCCCTTTTACAGAGACTGCCAAGCGGACAAGCCAATGAAGTCTTCTCTTCACAGTTTGGGAGCAAAAATAGCACCTGGGGCACTTGAGGAGTTGTTGCTCAGTCAGAGTTGTGTCCATCTCTTTGTAACCGTGGACTGCAGCACACCAGGCTTCCCTGTCCTTCACTGTCTCCCGGAGCTTGCTCAAACTCATGCGCACTGAGTCAGTGATGCCGTCCAACCATCTCACCCTCCATCACCCTCTTCTCCTCCTGCACTCAATCTTTCCCAGCATCAGGGTCTTTCCAATGAGTTGGCTCACTTGAGGGGTGGAGGGTATAAAATGCAGGAGCCCAGAGGAGTTCCAAAAAACAGGACTTTTTTTTTTAAAGAGGGATTGTATTATTTATTTAGAAGATTGTTTTTCTAACCTAAAAGCAAAATAGGTGTCAAGATTCTTAGTCAGAGAACCTGCCAAAAAAAAGTTGAAAACACTCCAAGGTGATTATACAGAATCAAATTTCAGAACCATGGAAAACAGCCATGCAGCTGACTACACACAATCCCTCACTTTGAATAACTTTATCACTTCAAATAATACACTTTTTTTTGAACTAAAAATAATACACAAAATAATATAACAATCACCCAACAACACTCATGTGGTGCTGAGATTCTGGATTAGTTATATTTTTTTAGTTACAACTTGAAGTGGGTCCATGAAGGTGCTCTTTCAAAAACTTAAATTAATTATACACATAAACATATTTGGGCTTCTCTATGACTCAGATGGTAAAGAATTTGCCTACAGTGCAGAAGACCTGGGTTCAATCCCTGGGGTGGGAAGATCCCCTGGAGAAGGCAATAGCTACCTGCTCCAGTATTCTTGTCTGGAGAATCCCATGGACAGAGGAGCCTGGTGGGCTACAATCCATGGGGTCACAAAGATTTGGACACAGCTGAGTAACTAACACACATGCACGCACACACACAGTTAAATATTTCTGAACAAATAAAACGGATTCAAAAACTATTTTAGTCAGTGGTATTTTTCCCTTTGAAAACTAAATCTATATGGTATAAAGTTGTCTGAAAACTTATTTCTCTTACTAACATTTTAAGTATTTCTTTCTCAGGTTAAAAATATATTTTTTGACCTATAAAGGATATATAAAAAAAGATTCCAGAAAATGTAGATTCAGCATCATCAAATCTACATAAGAATATAAAATCTAAAACACAGTTTATTAAGTACCCTATGATTTTAATATGCAGCTCTTTCAGATTAGTTGGCCTTATTCTCTCTCTCCCTCTCTTTTCTTTTTTCTTCCTCTCCCCCGCCCCCACTTTCTCTTTCTCTCCTTATCTCTCCCTCTCTCCAAAAAGACCATACACTGGGCCGTAAAATAAGTCTCAACATCCCGATGGCTGAACACCTACGTCTCAACACCGACTCAGAATGTGAACTGTGTCTGGAGCCTGAATGCTGATGGGGGTGCTTCATGAACCCGCCAGGTGCCATATCATCCTGCTTCTGTGGCACCCACGGCCCCACAACACATCAGGGCGAGACACAGCACGGAGGCAATCTCAGAGCCAATTCTTACTCCTTCTCTTTACTTGGATATAAAGTAAAAATGTAGACTGAAAAGGCACCAACCTGGGGGAAACCTACATCTGTGCTCCACCCAGAAAAGAAATAGTTTTCAATATCCTGTAATAACCAATAATGGAAAAGAATATACGCACAAGTGTAACTGAATCAGCCTGCTATACACCTGAAACTAACACAAGATTGTAAATTAACTAGACTTAAATTGAAAGGAAACAGGTGGAAAAACAGGCATGCTCATCACTGCCACTGGGGGCAGGGACACACCGGGACCACAGGGCCTCCTCCACAGAAATCCAAGAATCCAAACCAGGAGGAATGAACCAGCAGAAAACTCCCTAAAACAGAACACTGTGCAGCTCTGTCAGCAAAGTCGCCGTCAATGGACAGGAAATATATTTATAAGCAACTCCAGTAGAGTAGGCTACTACTCACTCACTCCTATTTAAGAGAAAAAGTGTGTGTGTATCTGAAGAAAAAGAGTGTCAGGAAAAATAAATCCCACTCAAGCAGCAGCAGTAATGAGCTTCAGGCAGCAATGGGGTCACAGGTAGCTATGTCCTTGCCAGTATTTTTCTCTTTCTGCACAAGAAGCCATATTATCCTACAGAAGAAAAACAACTGAAAAAAGAAAAGAAGGAAGAGGAAGGGAGAAGAAAAAATATTAAAAGATCAATACAACATTAGCTCATCTCTTTGCAGATTATGACTAGGAAAGGACACCTGTTTAAATTCTTCATAAATCTCTGTAATTGTCTAAGCTCTGGAGCTGAGCTGCACAATAAAATGACTATAATTTGAGTCTCGAGAGGGGCCTCTTCATGTGGATTTCAGCAAAAGGACTTGAGAGCCTCTTGCTCCTGGAGCCTCACAAGAAGACCTGACACCTGGAGAAACAGCAGCAAATCACATATGGGCAGGAAAGTTCTGTATTTTCAACACAATGTGCTCCCAGCCCACGGGAGCTGCAGGGGACAAACCCCACAATGGCAGGTGCTAGGAATCAAATATCCTTGACGTTACACAATACCTGGTACCTGGAAATTTTCCTTTTCCTTAAGATTTCAAGAAAACACATAAGGCATCAGCCAGTTCCAAACCAGGCACTATGCTAACTGTCGGGAATGCAGGTGTAAAGATGATGCAGCAGCCTACAGCCCAGGAGGCAAGGGCCTGGGGGTTGGAGTGATCACCTGGGAGGAACAGGAGTGACCGCTGGGAGATTTACCTTCCTTGATCCCATGACGTAACATCACTGCGGAGCCCACCCTGAGTATCACAGGCCTTGGTGAACAGGTGAGGATGTGACGGCTAGTCCTCCCCATCATCTCACTGCCAAACATGAGGGGGCGTGGCCACAGCCTGCTCAAGTCAGCACCTCATCCAATCAAGAACTGGCACTACTTCAGTTGTATCACGTGCAATCTCTTGATCAAGCCTATTTTTAAACTCTGGTAGAGTATCATATTATACATATTGCCAGCTGCAGAACTGGTATTGCTTATCTCAGCAAAAGAGATTGTTTGCCTGGAAAGATCAATGGCACTCATTAACTTTCTAATATTTCGTACTTTCTGAAATGTTTACAGTTTTTATGTGATTATATTTAAAACTTTAGTAAATACTGAAATAAAATCATATTAACCAGCTGCCTAAAAAAAAAAAGCCGGGGGCAGGGGTAGGATTGAGAGGGGTGGAATCTGTTCATTCCTATGCCGGAGCCCAGCATCCCGTCACACTCCTAACACGTTCTGAATCATCCCTCTGGCCCCTCCCTCAGTGAGGACAGACAGGAGGTGCATCCAGGCCACGGCCCAAGCGCTGACAGTGAAGACGGCGCTGCAGTACGACAGTGCTCAGAGAGGAGCTACAGAGGGGAGGGCGGCTTCCTGGAAGCCAAGCCCACTGGGAGGGTGTGGAATGCAGCCAGGGAATGCCAGCCACCGGGATCAAAACAGAAGTGGTGATCGTATGACAGGCCTGAGTTGTCAAGAAAGATGTCACGTTCAGTGAAAATAAGGGGGGAATGGCATGGAAACCTCTTAAAATGTTTCCAATTTAAAACGCTGCAATTTTAAAATTCCCAAAACCTAGTTTTGATCCCCGGGGTTCAGGAAAACAAAAGATTCATGATACTTACAATAAAACAAACAAACCAGTATGAGTGGCCCCAATGCTCTTTAAAGTACGTGAGTCTGAAACAGAAAACAAAGTGCTCCCCTCCACCCACACCCTCCCCAGTCTTCACAAAATGCACTGGAGCCGCTTCCCTGGACTTGAACTCACTCTGTCTTTGTCATCTGCCACATCACAGAGGATGTCGTCGAGATCCAGAATTCCTCCATCTCCATGTTCCAGTCGATGCACTTGTATCCAGTAGTTTGGATCCTGTATGAGAGTATACGGCAAATTAGCACCACCAAAAGGGAATGCAACAATTTAAACTGGGATAAACTCCTGCCATGAAAAGGAACTGACCTCATCAACAACACTGCCCTTGATGGAAAATTCAGGCGGCCCCCTATATTTGGTTGAGTCCATTTTGCTTTGTTTACAGTGGAGGCACTCAGGCATGTACATGCCTTTGCTCAGACAAGATACACTAGTGTGATAGGAGCTGCAGAAACCAGCAGAACTCACGGCACACAAAACAGTAATCCCTCTGAAGTGCTGCGTTTCCCATGGGCCAATATGAAATACTTCATAATCTCCCCAATCCAATCTATTGAGGCATTCTAATAAGCAAGCAACACATACCGTGTGTCTGAAAAACTCATGGTGCAGCCTATCTGAAGAAAAGGAGGCCGCCTGCCTTAGTGGCTCTAAGTCATCACTACAAACTGGTCTAAAATAGAGTGACACAGAAGAATGTTAAGACCACAAGTGAACAAAGCAAGCTCAGAACAGCATGTGTGCTTGAGTCTGTTTTATAAAGACAATTACATACACTCATATGTGTGCATAGAAAAACGTCCCCAGATATACACACCAACATTTTAATATTTATCCCTGAGGGGTGGGGCTGGGGAAGAAGGAAGACAAAGGACTTCATTTTGAGTGTCACACACTTCTACCTAGGTGTGTGTGCACACTTATGCATGTACACATATACACATGCACACATGCACATACACACACAACATATATACCACAGAATATAACATCAAATCAAGTTCTAAAATGACATGAGGAAAAAACATAGCTGTTTTTCAATTTCTACAATCACTTTCATTTGTATATTCAAAAATACACTAAACTATAACCTTTGCCATTAGCTACTGAATCATCCATAGCACAGAATTACTAATAAAAAGTTCAATTCACACTAACACTCTATTTTACCAACTTAAACAGTGATGTCAGGTACAGCTCTTTCTGAGAGGAAAGGCTGGGGTGGAGGAGGCACAAGATTAATGACAGCTATTAATAAAAACACAGACTATGGACCCTACCCCATATCTACTGACTCAGACCTTCCAAGGGTGAAGCCAGGGAATCCAAAGCCCTCCAAGGGAATCATTAAAATGGAACATGTATTATCAATCCCTGTCACTTTTTAACCAGCACAGAAAACAGTTCAGGTTCCAGTTCTCAAAGTTATTAAACATGACCATAGAAACCACTATGCCAACACTCCACAGTTGCTCTGCATGCACCTTCATTTATCTGGACTTCTTTAAAAGGAAATTCAGGGAATTCCCTGGAGGTGCAGAGGTTAAGACTCAGCACTTTCAGCTGGGGAACTAAGATGCCATAAGGCCAACAAATTTAAAAAGAGAAAAGAGATTCAGTACTGAAATCAACTGCTCATCCAGAACACAGACAGTAAGCTTGTAGAACACACACGCATGCACACACACACACCCACACACACACCCCTCTCTCTTGGCATCCCCTTCATACATGGGCCTTACTCAGCTAATTCCCTGGTTATATTAATAACGTCACCTAGAGAGTTCTTAGGAAACCCGCTGCTGTTAGTCCAGCCAGGCTCCAGAATTTTTCATTTCTAGATTTGTTGAGCTGTTAAAGAACAAAGTCCTAAAACAAACTGTACTTCTACTCTTCCTTCCCAAGTAGTATTCACTCTGCAAGAGAAATGGGGAAGAATGAATAACCCGGGGGTGAATAAAGAGAAGGTGGTCCTTCACCATCATATCCAGCCATTTATCACTGATCCACCCTGTCCTCCGCTTCCCCCAAGCCAGAAGACCTAACCAGCTTACATATCTGCTCTCATTTCTGAAACACGTTTATGCACACAAAAGCAGCATGTGTGTGTGCTCAGTTATGTCCAATTGTTTGCAACCCCATGAAGCCCGCCAGCCTCCAATGTCCATGGAATTTCCCAGGCAAGAATACTGGAGTGGGTTGTCATTTCCTACTCCAACACAGAAGCAGATAGACCTCTAAAATGTAGCTTATAAAACACATTCTTAAAGCCTCTTAACCCTCCTCACTCTTTCCACATGAGATCATAATCTACTGCCTTTCTATAACATTTGAAGGTATTCCCTGGAAATAAATTCCCTCCTAAAGATTTTCCAGTCTCTTAAACTGATACTGGAGAACCCACCACAGTCCAGCCTCCTTCATACCCCCTCCCCTCTCACGGCCCTCACCGTGTCCTGTATAAACGCACCCTTCCCCACCGTGCCCAAGGTTTGGAGCCCCACTCACCCCCCAGGCTGATCATTTCCATCCCTCAAGACTCCTTGGCCATCCTCTTCCCCAAGAGCTTCTCCTGACTGGGACATTCCAAGAAAGGTTAAAAGTCTATCCCCAGTCTTACTGTTAAAGTTTCTAAAAACCATTAACAGTATGATGCAAACTAGCATCTATCACATGGATACACAACAAGGTCCCATTATATAGCACAGGGAACGATATTCAATGCACCTGTGATAAACCATAATGGAAAAGAGTATTTTTTAAAAAGAATGTATATGTGTGTATGACTGAATCGCTCATACAGTAGAAATTAACACAACAGTGTAAATCAACTAAACTAAATCAACTATAAATTAATTTTTTAAAATCCATAACAGCATGGAAAACAGCACTCAGATGTCAACTCAGAGTCTTCAAAAGTTGTTACTACTGTATTTTTTCAGATTCTAAAATAGTTGTATGAAATCTTCTATGGACCCTACTTTTGTCCTTGAGCTACCACACTTTGATCCTCTTGACAGCAAAATATTTTAAAGATCTGTCATCTCAGATTCTTCTTCTCCTATAGCCCCATTCCAGTCAGGCTTCCTCCCCCCCACAAGTGCCAAAACTGTCTATCGAGGTCACCAACAGCCTCCATGTTGCTAATGAGTTCTCAAGACCCATCTTCCTTGGTCTATCAGCAGAATCTGACACTGCTGGTCACTCCCTCCTCCTCGAAATATTCTCCACACTTGGCTTATCGTCTTTCAACTGTCTGATCAGGGTGTGTCTGATTCTGAGATCCAGCTGTTGATTCCTGCCTCCAGAGAAGTCCTGATTCAGCGGTCAGCTATGCCAACTAGCCACGACAACACCATGGCGAGGCTTTCATCAGGCTGGCACTCATTAAATGTCACTCTGACCATGTGCTGAATGGAGACAACCTCTTGGAGAGAAGCACAGGGTGGGAATCATCAGTGATCCTAACAGAGCAAAGGACACTAAAAAAACAGTCAGATCTGAGCAGCACAAATGAAAATTACCTCCCCCAACAAGAGTATAAAAACCAGGATGTTTTTGCCACTGAGAAATACATCTTGGAAGGGTTGTCTCTCAGGAGATGTTAAATGACAGCCTTCGTCCACACAATTCTCTCTGAATGCCCAGAGGACTGGCTGTATTTTCAAGGAACAGTCAAGTACCCAGGAGAAAAACTTGTTTTCTAAACAAGTTGGAACATATTCATTGATTCCACTTCACGGTGGTTTTCACTAAGAAGTTAGAAATAATAGCAGAAATCATTGCTGTCCTGGCTATAGAAATTTATACATACAACTGAACAGAAAGCAGTGATAAGCCACTTTTAAAAATGCCAAAAACATTAATTCTACAACCAGTAGACTTGTCATTGGATTAAAAAACAAACGTGACATATACGCAATTTTTTAAAAAGGTTTCACTTACAGTATGCACATAGAAAATAACCAAAGATTTGAACAATAACAATAAGTTTACATTATGACGAACAAAAATCCAGAAATGAAAGACAAGGTTCGCAACAAGTGGCTGGATAGAGGACTATGAAGAAGCAAATGTCCCCGCCAGGCAACACTCCCCAAGATGCATCCGAGCCCAGAGTAGAAACCAGGAGACAAACCCACACGCAGAATCACTGCTTCTCACCCAACAAGACTGGGGAAAAGATGGAGGGGATGCTTCTATGATCAGCTAGAAAGAAAGCACAGAGATGTGGTAAGATGGAAACTGCCAAGAATGCTGCAAAGAAAGCTCTATCCCAGGACACAGGAAGAGAAACAGAGGAAGGAAAGTCATAATGAAATAATGATTCCTATCCAAATTTCAAGAAATCTCTCACCACTCCACAAAGAGCACCACCCCACTGTTCAGTTCAGCTCAGTCACTCAGTCGTGTCAGAGCTCTTTTCAACTCCACCGACTGCACGCAGCGCGCCAGGCCTCCCTGTCCATCACCAACTCCCAGAGCGTGCTCAAACTCATGTCCATCAAGTTGTTGATGCCACCCAACCATCTCATCCTCTGTCGTCCCCTTTTCCTCCCGCCTTAAAAACAGACAGATCATGGGTCATAAGAAAATGAAACGTAAAAATGATTTGTGAAGGTTAAAGAGGGAAAGGATACTTGTATACCTATAGGTGACTCATGTTGATGTATGGCAGAGGCTTCACAATACTGTGAAGCAATTTTCCTCCACTTAAAAATAAGTAAGTTAAAAACTAGCTTTGTGAGTTCTGAAGAGAAAAAGATTACATCAGTGAGAAGAATTGGGAAAGGTTGGTGGTGAGGTTTTAGGAGAATCAGATCCCAGAAGAGGGAGGGATGGAATGAAGGAATGAAGAAAGGAAGGAACTTCCAGAAAGTAAAATACAAGTCACCACAGCAAAGGGAAAAAGAATCAGAAATCAGAATGGGTTGGACTTTATTAAGAGCAACACCAAATATATATGATAACAGCACACTGACTTCAAAACTCCTAAGAGAAATGTTTCACAACACAGAATTCCAGACCTCACTCACCAACCATCAGTAAAGCATGGGTGCCGGTAGAAAACAACATTTTCAGAAATGCAGTGTCACCAGAAAGTCACCCTCTGTCTTTCTCAGGTGAGTACTAGAAGATGTGTGCCAACAGAGACCTAACCACGAAAGAGGACACCACGGCACGTGAAGCAGGGGACAAACCCCACGAGAGGACTC